GTATGAGATAAGCCTGAAAAGTCAGACTCTTCCAGCAGCCTGGTTTTCTCCAGGTTTAAAATACTGTGGGGAATGTGACTGACTGCAGCCTGAATGGTAATTAATTCTCTGGGCAAAACAAAACAAAATTAAAATGCATGCTAATTTTTAACTATTCTCTTGAAAGTATGCCAAAGTGCAGCTCTGTAAGTTTTAAGGGTAGTGAAGAAAGCGTTACCATGCTTGTTCTCCCTTATAGGACCTCTGGCCGTTATATCCCTGCATATGATTTCTCATAAACCTTTTAAACAGGGAAGAAGGGACACACTGGAATTAACATTGTTAAACAAAAATCAAGTGCATAAGGGTACATGGAGGATAAAGAAGATACAAATTAGCAAAAGTCACATCAGACTGTTAAACCAGTCTGACTACCCTAAGCTACTTTATTGTCATGTGAAAACGTCATATCACCAGTTATCCCTCTAGTCATTCCAGTATCCTGCTTCCCCACAACAGCTCTCTACTGACAATAAGGCATGACTATGGACACTGTTCCCTCATGTCCATGGTCAGAACCACTGTGGAAAGAAGCAGAGAGAGGCATACTATCTGCATTGAAAGTAAGTATGATTTCTTAACTGTCAGTTGTCAAATAGCTGTCACCAAACTTGTATCACAATTCTGGGTATGTGATATTCTCTTATCTGAAATATCCCTTACAGACACTAGGCTTTTCCCTGGAGCATCATTCCTCTTAGCTTTTCTCCTTTCTTCGGTTTTCCACTCCTTGTTCTTTGCTTCTTAGTCACTTCTACTTAACTGTATTCATTTACTAAATCAAGTGATTTTTACATTTTATACTTCTGCTCTTCCAGAACCTGGTGAAGAGCTGAACCTAATGGTCCCAGTTCCTATCCAGATGGACTTCCCCTTCTCACTAGGCCCATATCTTATGTACCTTAACCTTTCTTCCTCAAAAATGACACTCTAATCCTAACATCCTTTGTTTCACAGCTGAGTAAATAATTGGTGTATATATGCCTGTGATTGGAGAGGAAAGTCAAGTTCTTTCTTCAAACACCCACAGATCTACTCCTATCTTTTAAAATAATTAAGTAAAGCATCTTTATTTGCTCATTTTCAACATCTTTCTCTTCCCTTATTCTTGCTCCTCCTTGTCTCTTTGACAACATAAGATGAGGAATCAAAAATCTGGATTTAACTCCTATTTTCCTGCTTTATAGAAGGAAACTCCTTTAACTTTTTATTATTATTGCCTGTAAATGGGATGATTATTATCAGCCTGACTATGACACAACATTACTGTGAGAAGAGAATGCCTGAAAAATTCTGGATCTGACTGAAGTTAAAAAAATTAGTATGTTAGATATTTGATGTTTTACAATTTTGTCTGAGAGAAGAAATTCATAAGCTAGAGATGGATAGGTTAGTTAAACCTTATGTAAAAAGTTAAAAAGGAGCATGAGTAAAAAGATATGGACCAGAAAGTGGTGTCTTTTTAATATTTCAGATATTAAAATGTTAAACATTTGACCAAAAAAAATTCTGAGTATAAGACTATCTGAGGACAGTTTGAAGAGGATGGCATTTGCCCAAAACCAATAAGAGCTTCTGCTCATGCTACTGCCTCTTTCTGGAATTCTATTCTGGTTTCTCTCCTACTGAGCTAAGTCTTTTTAGTTGTCTTTGATAATTCCAACCAAAATTACTCTTGTCTCCTCCTGACTGCCCAGAGCACAGACGATCTATATCATTTACTTTGGCCCTTAATTAACAGGTTATTGCACATCATCTAGATTTCTATGTATTCTTTAATCTATTAATGTTCAACAGCTTCTTAGGTTCAGGTGATTTACACCAGTCCACAGAGCTGAGCACAGTATTAGATAATATTATATGTTATCCATTTGCCTTTGCATTCTATCTTATGATGCTTTCAGATTCCTGCTTCCCTTTCCTAGATTTTATGTATTCTAATCTTTTAAAAAAGTCAATTTTCTAAAATCATCTTCTGGATCTTGGAAAATTCTCCTCATAGTTATGCTTTTTCTTTTGAGTTTCCACAATAACTTTACTCTCCTTGTTCTGCAATATTTCTTCATGCCACCATATTGGTTCCTAGTCCCTATATAGTTAAGTATTGCTGAGTCCTCTTCTTTGATATACAAGTCGTCTGGATTCATATCTGCAACAGGGACTTCTACAACACGGAGCTGAAATGACCCACTTCCTCATTTTCTGACACTTGGAACAGTTGGGGTTCATGTATACTATAGCGAACACTCTCCCTGTCTCTTTTCTCAACTATATTTTACTTGTGAAGACTATACTTCCACACTTCCCATGATGCAATGCTCTATCAATCTCCTCTTCTCCCACCTTAGTTATTTTCCCCCTTTTTTCTGGTGTTACAGGTTCTAGTTGGATATAAAAAGAGAGGTCTTCAAATATTATGAAAATGGTTGAAGAAAGTGAAAGTGTTAGTTGTTCAGTCATGTTCAACTCTTTGTGATTCCATGAACTGTAGCCCACCAGGCTTCTCTGTCCATGGAGTTCTCCAGGCAAGAATACTGGTGTGGGTAGACGTGCCCTTCTCTAGGGGATCTTCCTGACCCAGATATCGAACTCCAGTCTCTCACATTGTGGGTGGATTCTTTACTGTCTGAGCCACCAGGGAAGCTGATGAATATGCTTAACACTACTGATTATGCTTAACACTACTGAATTGTAATCTTAAAAATGGTTTAGATGATAAATTTAATATTGTTTTATTTTTTAATCACAAAGAGAGAGAAAGGTCTTCATCTGGAACAAAGAAAAGGGAAAAAACAGAAGACAGCATTATGGCTACACTAAAAGTGATGGAGGGGGCCATTGCCAAGTTTTTATATGAAACAGAGCTTTTGTGAACCAAGGGGCATACATACCCTGAGGGTGAGGAAGGAGAGATGAAGTTCTTCCTAAGTACTTCAGTTATTCATAATAAAGGTAAGTCAACAGTTGAGTCTTTTAATCTAGATCCAGACACCTTGTAAGTGAATGGACATTCCCTCAGATGCCAACAATAAGTTGATTATCAGTCATCCATTTTCAGTGCCACTGCAAGTTTCTACCTTTTTCTCATCTTCATAGGCATATTCATAGGAAGACATGACAGAACTTTAATTAGGAGCCACTATCCAGGTGATCTTTTACACAAGAAGCCCCATTTTTCAAAAATGCTTATTAAACAAATTTCAAGTCAACTCTCTATTCATGTTTAAAAGTTTTGAACTAAGAAAAAAGCAGCCTAATACCAAGTCACTGAAAAATTTAGAAACAGATTAGAAAGGGAGAAGTAGTTATGAACTATCAAGATGGGAAATGGCAGGTTCCAGGCACTTTCAAACATTTAAAGTACAGTCTAACAACATGGGAAAAGAAAAAATTACAAAGAGCCATCCTGGTAAGCTCATTGCAAAAATATTTTTATTTAAGGGAATAACTGTCTTCAACACTGGCCTAATGAGCCGTAGATTGTTCATTAGCATATAGCCAACATTCTGTTATGGTTTCCAGCTGTGCAGAGAACACCAAGAAGACAGAAAACTAAGACAGCCTACTATCTGTGGAATCAACAATTTGTGTATAAAGCTTATGGATTCCAGAAAAAGATCGTCACTCATACCACAAATATTTACTGTATAAACAGAACCAGGTCTAGATCTCAAATGAGCAGAACAAGCAGTTTGCTTCCAGGGTATGTGATAACAGAGAATTTCAATGTTTCTTCAAATTATTCAGAGGCCTTCCTCTCTTCTCACCTAAAAGGCAATGCTCCCATCAGTGCCAGCTATTTGCATAACTATTTGCATTAACACCTATGCTTTTCTCATATCAACTAGTTGCTACCTTCAGAGGCAGGAAGAAGGAATCCAATCAAAAGGTTAGCTGCAGTAGGAGAAAACATTTCCTTTTATTGTATTTAATTTGATTTTACTGGGCTCGTACTATCTGAAGCCACCATGTAGGTATTGTGAAATATGCACAGATAACAAAGCACAGTTTGAGCCCTCAAGGGAGCTTTATAGTGGAGGAGGGAAAATGTATAGCTCAAGTGTCCATGGAGGAAACAAACAAACAAACAAAAAGAGGCAGTTGATAGTGGATTACACTAGGAAAAGGCAGTCTTAGGGTCCAGTCAGTGATGCTATCCCAACATTTTCAAATCCTGATTCAGCAGTGCAGTCTTTAGAGTATTGCTCTGATCTACTGACTGGAAAAGAGGTTACACAGAAGAGTTGCTTTTAAAGTTCTAGAATGTATCAAAGGCCCTGAATGATGACAAATTAGATGAGTGGTCTTAGGGAAAAGTAAACACTACTGTCCATGCCTTGCAAATTGATTATTTCACTCACAATATTTGTTGAGGGCCTTCTGTATGCCAATCACTATTTTAAGAACAGGATATGTGTAAGATGTTATATAAACATGCACTACTGAGAACCAAACCCAGACCATCCAAATTGGATCTTCGGAATGTTTTCTTAGCCATGTGCCCCACACTTGTAAGGATGTGTCTCAGCTGAAACAGTCTACATCTTAAAGATTTTGCACTATTTAATCTTCGACCTTTGGCTTTCTTATATTGCCAGTGGCATTCAAGGATTTTTCAAGATATTCACTTGACATTATCTATATTATTAGAAACATTGCAGTCAGAAAATTAGAATTCATTAACAGGCAGATATTGTACTTGCTACTAAGATATATGAAGCTATATTTATCCTGCAGTGTAACATATCTGCTTCATCAGTGCAGGAACAAGGCAATCTTTCATCTGGATGAAATAGCCTTGAAAGCTTCGTCACTGCAGTGCAGCAAGAAGCTACTAAAACGGTTCTTCCTGGCCTCTTCCTTTAAAAAAAAAAAAGACTGCACCACCTCCCAAGGGCTTCAGTTGCAGTTGCTATAGCAACACTATATCTGAGTCAGAACTATTAACAATCACCATGGCAACAAGTGTCTCACTTGCCATTTCCAGAAACTCATTGCATTTGGACTAGAATCATCACACCATGTAAAAATGGGTGGGGCTTTCTTCTCACTAAGAAACAGGATACTTTCTCCCAATAACTTACCCCTAAAATATTTTAAATAAAATAAAACAAAAGGAATTATAAGGGAATAATACTGTCACAAGCTGATTATCCTGTTTTCTGAAATACTATAATGGAAATAACAGTTAAATGTTAATAATAGATATGGTAGATTCATTTCTTCCAGTAGGATCCAGTAAAATCTTTGGTATATAAAAAGTTCCTTCCTATTTTGTAAATTCCCATAACTGCTTTATTTCTTCTGTGCAGTTCTTTTCTGCCTCTGCTAATTTCCCTTTTTTCTCCCCTGTCAAACACTCTCTTGAACTGAATATTTGGCAGAGCAAAATTCTTTAGAGATTTGTGGTCACACTTGTCAAGTTAGAAGCAGCAGAAAGAATCACACGTATTTCTGGAATTACATCAATAATAAAGTGTGTGGTACTCCATGGGAAGTGGTCACAATGGAGCTGCAAGGCCATCTTACTTCCTTTCTTCCTTGAACACAAGATGGTAAGAATGGGCAGTGTCCAGATTTTCATCCAGAGTGTAGCCTCTACAAGTGATTGGACACAGGAGAAGAATCATACTTTAATATTACAAAGCAGCTCTAGTCTCAAGATCTATTGGATCATCTTTGTTCTCACATTACCTTCCCTCCTAGATGTCCCAGCGTACATTTTCACCTCCTCATCCTGGTGCCTTTATCACACCATGTCATGTCACACAATGACATTTTCTTGGGATCTCTGGTCTGGATCAGAGTTACTAAGGCCAGATAATGTTGACAGGTAACTTTCAGGATAGGTTTTCTTGTGTATTGACCCAAAGAAGACAAAAACAAAACAAATTTTCCTTAACTAAGAGCCAAATTATACCAAACATCAAAATGATCTCTTTTTCTTTTCCAAGTATCTTGTTCTGTGAAAACAAAATATTCTGTTATCATGTGCCCTTTCTTCCCTCAGAGCTCAGGAGAATGAAGACAGGCTCCATAGCAAGTGAACTTTGGTACCGAGAACACAACTTTACTAGTGATGAGAGAAGGAAAATGGAGATGATCCTTCTTTTCACTGTGAATATCAGGGTATTTTTGCTCATAATTATGTAGAATGGAAACTGAAGAAGAAAGGTGGGCAAAATCAAAATGTCTTATTAAGCCAATGTGATTAAGTGATAGGAAGTCTTGAGGAAAGGCTCTCTAGCCTATTTTTGAGAGGTTAGAAGGACTCCAAAGTCATGGAAACATTAGACTGAAAGTTGAGGGCTACCTGTAGTCTAGGGTAAACAGGTGTTCAGAAAAAGGTTATATTTTATAATGCACCCACCTCTGAGTGGGTGCCCTGACTCATGTCTATCCAAGAAAATAGGAACCAAACTTTCTCCAAAAACTGTAAGTGACATCAGAAATGTTCTCATTTACGATTTTTTTCTCTGAAATGCTGTAATTTGTCTATAGCCTGCTTAACTGTTGATTTTTCCATGTTTTCCCCCTCCATGTTCTAAATGAAATTGAGCCAATGTCCTTCTAGAAAAGAAACCTGCCTTGTCCCATTGTGTGGATAGTCAGGTTAAGGGTCATCTACATATTAGTCAATGCAGAGGGGTTTTTGCTGGTAGATTCATACTCTAATGGGAAGTTTTCATGGCTATTTGTGTATCAATAAATCACTAGCTTTGGACTCAAATCCCTCTTCCTTACCTTAACAGCTGTGAGACAATGAGTACAAACCTGATCACACTGATCTCATCTTCTCTCATTTTTTGAAAGAGCGCTAACAATGATAGAGGGCTTTCCTGATAGCTCAGTTGGTAAAGAATCCACCTGCAATGCAGGAGACCCCAGTTCGATTCCTGGGTCGGGAAGATCCTCTGGAGAAGGGATAGGCTACTCACTCCAGTATTCTTGAGCTTCCCTTGAAGCTCATCTGGTAAAGAATCTGCCTGCAATGAGGGAGACCTGGGTTCGATCCCTGGATTGGGAAGATCCCCTGGAGAAGGGAAAGGCTACCTACTCCAGCATCCAGGCCTGGAGAATTCCATGGACTATATAGTCCATAGGGTTGCAAAGAGTCGGACATGACTGAGCGACTTTCACTCTCTTAACAATAATACATAGTTTATAGAATTGTTTCAATGATTAAACTAATATACATAGAGCTCCTAGTACAGTACTTGCCTCTCAGTAAACACTATTATTACATTGTTGTTAGATTCAATTTGTCTACTCATTGCTTCCTATTTGGATAGAAATATACATAAAACATTTTTGACTTAAAGATTGTTCATTCATTTATTCATAAATTCATTCAAAAAACATTTATCTGTGAGGGGCAGGGACAAGATGTAGGCCTTGCCTGGTAGGAGTTATAATTTTCTAATATTGAAGAAAATAGTAGAGGAGGCAAATCATTGTATATGATATTTCAGCTTCAGAATTAAACAACAGATTTTCCTCAGCTGGGTGGCAGTGGTCAAGATTTATCTTTTTGGACTGCTCTCCTTCTCTAACACAACTCTTAATAGGTAAATATGCCCATGGGCTTTTTGTACTCCATTTGTGAAGCTATAGTATAGGTTGTCCCAATACTGCCATTAAAATTGCCATTTTAAAGGGTTTGTTTCTCTTGGCTACAAAAATAAAAGTTCCCTGTAGAATGGAACTTGGCAAACAGTTTGATTAAGTTGGGCTATTTTTATTTTATGCTCAAAGGGAAGCAACATGCCCTAGTGAAACAAGATGCCTGAGGTCAGAAAACTGGACTTCCTATTCTGACTCTGTCATTGAGTTATATTTGGAAAGTTCCTCAGTTTCTCCCTGCTTGAAAAAAAAATGGAGACTAGTTTCTGCCTCCTATATTTTATTATAATGTGAGGAAAAGGGTTAAATGTTATAATGAACTCTAATTCTCTCACATGCTGTCTCAAAATAGTGACGTGAAAGTCGTTCAGTTGTGTCTGACTCTTTGCAAACCCATGGCCTATATATAGTCCATGGAGAATATATATATATTCTCCAGGCCAGAATACTGGAGTGGGTAGCCTTTCCCTTCTTCAGGGGATCTTACCAACCCAAGGGTCAAACCCAGGTATCCCTCATTGCAGGCGGATTCTTTACAGCTAAGCCACAGGGGAAGCCCATGTCTCAAAATGGGAACCTGTAAATAACTGCTTCTACTGCTTCCTTATTCTACCAAATAAGAGCAGGAAAATGTAATCAGTCTGGCCTGATTTAGCCATGTGAGAATAGACCTAGCAAGTATCAGAGATTAAACCTCTAGCAAACAGTACATTCTAAAAGAATTCAGACATGTGTGGGCCCAGTGAGAGAACAAGTACATAAGGTGCTCATCCTCTGAGCCTCAGTTCAAATATTTGTTTATTATTTGTGCATCACCAGTGATTTTTCACAAATTTCCTCCTCACAAGAATTTAAAACATTATGAAATACACTGCTTTGAGATAACACTCTTCCTTCCATTTCTACTGTCAAGGAAGGTCATGGAAGGCAGAAACCTGATAAGTCACTCTTTGATACTCCCTTATACATGCACACACACACACACACACACACACGCACACGCACACACACCCCTACAACCAAAATCATTTAGCTGTCCTTCACAGAGGCCATCTAATGACTTAAATCAGCTGAACAATGGGCCTGACAAAGCAGTGACACTGTCCAGGCCTAGCCTAAACTGGGTTAATTCTGTGAAATCAGCTGGATGCTAAGAATCAGCAGTAATTCACAGTGAATAGAATTCTGCTTTTCCTGGCACAAGTACCTTCCTTCTCAAAGAACTTTCAAGTCTGTTTAGTTGGCAACCTTTTCAAAAAGGTTGTGTGCTTTCTGTGGGCAGAAACTGTACCTTCTGTTTCTTTTCCTTATAGCGGCTAAGACAAATAACTTGTATATCCTTGTTAACAAATGTTTTGATTTCAGGGTTCTGTAAAGACTTTTCAAAAATTAATAAAACACTTCCTAACTGCTGCTGAGTTATGGACAAGGGAATGTATTCCATCTGGTCACAGTCAGAGCAGTTTTCTTTGTAACCCTGCCTACTGAGTATAGACAGTATCTGAGGTGTACATTAAATCAAGATCACTCTAAGTAACTTTGTCTTATTGTTTATAGGTCTATTAGGATCAGAAGGCACAGATGGCCCAACTCCATCCTAATTAATCAAGCTGTGACAAGATAAAGTAAAGACGAACCTAGAAAAATGGGAGGAAGCACCATTTTGAGGTATTAAGATTATCCTTTTGATTTAGATAATCTAAATGCTATAATTCCATATTCAAACTGATTATATTACCACCAGAGATCCCCTCCAGATTTTGTGGTCCTTCTGACCCTCTGCTTTTGTAAGTAGTTATTCTCAGTATTTAAGGTTAAAAAAACCCAAAAACTATTTAGGGCTCTTTGATCGTTAGTAACAGAAATAACTAGCCAATAGCTAGTTAATTTGACCAAAAATGTATTATTAGAATGTTAATGGACAATGACCAAATAGAAGGCCTTAGAACTTAGAAAAATCAACTGCAGGTAGTTTCTGAAGCTCTCAGCATAATCTCATGTCTGCTGAAGTGAGTGGACTCTTTTCTTGTCTCTCAGCAGTGTGTGACTAGTCAAAGTTAGTTCAGTTCCGTTCAGTTGCTCAGTTGTGGCCGACTCTTTGTGACCTCATGGACTGCAGCACACCAGACTTCCCTGCCCATCACCAACTCCCGGAGTTTACCCAAACTCGTGTCCATAGAGTTGGTGATACCATCCAACCACCTCATCCTCTGTTGTCCCATTCTCCTCCCACCTTCAATCTTTCCCAGCATCAGGGTCTTTTCAAACGAGTCAGTTCTTCCCATCAGGTGGTCAAAATATTGGAGTTTCAACTTCAACATCAGTTCTTCCAATGAGCACTCAGGATTGATCTCCTTTAGGATGGACTGGTTGGATCTCCTTGCAGTCCAGTGGACTCTCAAGAGTCTTCTCTAACACCACAGTTCAAAAGGATCAATTCTTCAGCATTCAGCTTTCTTTATAGTCCCACTCTCACATCCATACATGCCTACTGGAAAAACCATAGCTTTGACTAGATGGACCTTTGTTGGCAAAGTATGTCTCCGCTTTTTAATATGCTGTCTAGGTTGGTCATAACTTTCCTTCCAATGAGTAAGCATCTTTTGATTTCATGGTTGAAGTCACCATCTGCAGTGATTTTAGAGCCCCCAAAATAAAGTCTGCCACTGCTTCCACTGTTTCCCCATCTGTTTGCCATGAAGTGATGGGACCAGATGCCATGATCTAAGTTTTCTGAATGTTGAGTTTTAAGCCAACTTTTTCACTCTCCTCTTTTACTTTCATCAAGAGACTCTTTAGTTCTTCTTCACTTTCTGCCATAAGGGTGGTGTCATCTGCATATCTGAGGTTATTGATATTTCTCCTGGCAATCTTGATTCCAGCTTGTGCTTCTTCCAGCCCAGAGTTTCTCATGATGTACTCTGCATATAAGTTAAATAAGCTGGGTGACAATATACAGCCTTGATGTACTCCTTTTCCTATTTGGAACCAGTTTGTTGTTCCACGTTCTAACTGTTGCTTCCTGACCTGCATACAGATTTTTCAAGAGGCAGGTCAGGTGGTCTGGTATTCCCATCTCTTTCAGAATTTTCCACAGTTTGTGGTGACCCACACAGTCAAAGGCTTTGGCATAGTCAATAAAGCAGAAACAGATGCTTTCCTGGAACTCTCTTGCTTTTTTGATGATCCAGCAGATGTTGGCAAAGTCAGGGTACATGCTTATTGCTTGGCTGTCTTAGAAAGAGAATCTGGCAGAGAGAACCTCTAGGGAAGGCCATGATCCACAGAGATGGGACAGGCACCTGAATCTACCAACTCACAAAGGTGTCACCCAACACAGGTAGAGAATTCACCCCCTTCTATTCCCTGAAATATCAAGAAGCTTTAAGCAATGGAAAAAGAATATTGGGTGCCTCCAAAACCATGAACATTTACTACAGCCATCACCCACCTTTCTCTTCAGTTGTGGAGACATTCTGTTAGCCCTTAATAGAAAGTGGGAAAACTATGTGGGCCTACTGTTTAGAACCTTGCTAAAGAACTTCTCCCATCAGCTATCCTAATCTTTCCAGTATAGTGTAGTCACAGAAGCTTCTAAAATAAAGATCCTGCCTATTCTTCTGTGCCCTTATGAATCATAGCATTTAATCCAGGTGCTCAGTTTAGCAACATTTTGTTAACACTGATACTATCCCCACCTGATTTGCTTGGAAGATGACGATAAGCAAAATGACATTGGCAGCTTTTAATATTTTCCAAGCTTCACAAAGGAAGAAGGGTTCTATAATATTAACATAGAGTCAGATTGGAATAAGCAGCTACAGCAACTAAATGTCTAAACTCCCTCCAAGCTGCTATTATCTCTCCATGTGTCCTCTGGTCATTGGGAGCCAAGTTTAGAGTTTATAAAAAACAGGGCAATGCCTTTCTGGTCATGATACCTCTAAGTGAGCAAATGATGAAGATGAGCTACTATTTACCAAACCGGTGTGTTTAATAGCCATCATCCAAAAAGCATGTGGGTGAGCCAAGGTGGCGCTTGCATTCATACAAGTCTTCAGAAGAAAGATTCTGAATGTCCATGTTCTTCTGCTATTTTTCTCCAATATTTACACATTACAACATGACAGCATAATGTATATTTACTCTGATAACTAGGTCATTTTCGCTTCCCAGCTATTCGACTGATAATTGCTATTCACTGTTTCCTAAATGCTAAATGAGCAACGTGCTAGTGCTGATGAAAGTTGTATGTGCCATTTTAGCACTGTGCCAGGAAAAGAAGCTGGGACCACACGAGTGCCAGCTACAAGGTTTACTCTGTACTGACCAGAACTTTGGTCCTCACGTATTCATTCAATTTTTCAGAAGTTATAGCTGCAGTGATATATTTTAAGTAATATAAATAATGATTTTTGTTTTCCATTTATGCTGCTGGTTGGCCCACTAAGTCCAAAAGATCCTGAATTATCTATATTTTAATTGGTTCTTTGCACTGAATATATGATCCAAATAACTGCCAACTCTTTTTTCTATCTTGTGAATTTATAAACTTCAGTTTTTGTTATCTTTCTTGCTGGTTTTAAATGATTTCAGATTTCTGTATCAGCTATAAGAACACAGGGCTACTCTTTAAAATATAGCATTTCCTGCCCAGTAAAAACCCACTGAAAAAATATTCCTCTTAAACTCCAATTTTAAATGCGTTCTATCTGCAACTTTGCAGGTCAGGCAAGGAAAGGAAGATAAAAGCTGAAGATATCATGACTGGCTTTGTTTCCTGAGGTTTGGGGTGGAGATCAGTGACAGCACTGGTTTAACTTGATGAGTTTCATACATTTCTGGTTTCAGGAGAGCATACATTCAGACCTAAGTTTGCAAGCTTTGTAGAAAGAGAAATTAGGCAGAAGAGATAAACTCTAAATAAAGCTCCATGTTCACCTGTTTGGCTACAGCCTTACTTTCCCAGTAAGGTGCAAAGTGCTAGATGAGCAAGGGGACCAGAGCACAAAAGCAGGCAGGATAAAGGGGGTGGAATATGGCTTGGTATTCCGCAAGTTTGCTTAAGTTAAACTACAAACAATGGAGCATTATTCCTTGTGCCTGCTCCATGGGTTTGCAGTTTAAATTGGGCAGACTTTGTTGGGAGGTTATTATAGGTGTTTCAGCAAAACTAATAGGGAAGTTTGGGAGTTTCTGATTACAGATGGAGAGGTGCCTTGGGAGCAAGGAAAACTTAAGTGAAGTCACTTAGTCGTGTCCCACTCTTTGTGACCCCATGGACTGTTACCTACCAGGCTCCTCTGTCCATGGGATTTTCCAGGCAAGAGTACTGGAGTGGGTTGCCATTTCCTTCTCCAGGGGATCTTCCCGACCCAGAGCTCGAACCCAGATCTCCCTCATTGTAGGCAGATGCTTTACATCTGGTCTGAGCCACCAGGGAAGATTAGTTATTTTTAAGCCACAGGAGAGACAACAAATAATTATTCTAAAAGAGTGCCAGTGGGACTTCCCTGGTGGTGCAGTGGTTAAGACTTCACCTTCCAATGCAGAGGGTACAGGCTCAATCCCTGGTTGGGGACCTAAGATCCCACATGCCATGTGCCCACCACAAAACCAAAAACAGAAGCAATATTGTAACAAATTCAATAAAGAGTTAAAAAAAAAAAATAGTCCACATCCAAAAAACGATAAATGTGCCAAAAATTCAATAATAAATATTTTTTGTCTATATGGATTTTGAAAGTTAAAAACAGAGTTGGCACAACCAGTAACAACAGCGAAAACTATTCCACAACACCATCTTTTCCAACTTCTTCATTTTACCCTTGCTTCGACCTTCCTAGCTCGTTCTTCCTGCAGCACTGTCTTACCTTAATATGCAGACTATAATTACAAGATAGCCATCTGCTACTCTTTACTCTGTTTGGGCTTCAAATATTTCTGGTGGGCCTTGGTATAACCCTTTGTATTTGTTGTTGTTGGTTTTTTTGTCTGAAACTTTATGGAAGGATAACTGGGCTTGTGTAAGAATGTTTGATAACATTCCCTTCTTATAAAATAAGTAAGACTTCAAATATCTCCCAGGGTTTTGCCATCTCCACTTGTAGAATAATATCTACCACCCCTAATTTACATGATTATTTCAGGAATCAAAAGAGGTGAATATATGCTTCATAAATTACAAAGTATAGAGACAATAAGAGTTGATTATTTTTAATATAATATTTTCTGGATTAAAAAAATTGAAAAACAAACACAAACATGGACTTATAGCTCTAATTCAAGGCTAAAATGTCTCATTCCTTATTTCTGGGCAGTCATTCACCTGGGCAGCTCCTTTCCATTAAGGTGGCAGCATCTGTCACATTTCTATATTGGTCTCTGATTCTCTGAATCCAGAAAATACATGGGAAATGGAAATTTCTGTATATTTCAGTGTATACTGCTACCTACATTCCTTTAAGGAGCACATCTTCCAAGATGGAATGTGCTGTAGCATATTTGCCTACACTCACATGCATTGTGCACACATCTGTAAATATTTTTCCTACTCTGATGTTCAATTGATTTCTGTATGCTCTTTCAGAATGCATGTAGATGGATTGTTAGGAAATTGTAGTGTCAGTCAAGATAACACAAAAAATCAGCATTCTACAGTAGACAGA